CTGCCCTAGAGGACATGATGGGATGGCAGCTACCTTGCCAAGGCCCTCAGGGTCCCCTGGCAGGAGCCATGACCATGCAGAAAGAAGTCTTCTTCAAAAAGCCTCCTGATGTTTTTTTGTGAAGAATGGAAGATACACCAAAAATGGCCCTCAACCCCCCTTCCCTGGGACACCTCCCTATGCCAGCAGGGTCACGGCATACGGCTGGTGGGGAAAGGAGCGTGGGGTGTCCTCAGCCTGCTGAAGTCACTTTGCCAGTGAAAAAACGAGAGAACGAACAAGAAAGCACTTGCTGAAAGCCTCCATACGCCACAGGAGATGTGCTCTCTTGGCCAGCATGGTCATTCACTTGGGACTCTTGGGGCAGAGGCTGGAGCCAGGCAAGGACCACCCACAAGGCAGCCCCAGTCCAAAGGAGCAGGCACCCTGCCGCAGCCCACAGCACCCACCTCACCCGGGCGGATCTTGATGTAGAAGTTGCTCCTCTTGTAGGAAATTTTGAGGATCTTGGGCCAGGCGAAGCGGTTGATCCTCAGCCGGTCCCTGTAGATGAGGAGGCCGTTGGCGCAGACGCCCAGCATGATGTCGATGCCCTCCGAGTCCTGGAGGAGGCAAGAGGGATGGGAGGGGACTGCTCAGCTGCCCAGTGAGAACCAGTCCGGCCAGCAGTGCCACGCTCCCTCCTGCTCAGTGCTCTGCTACGTGGCTGACAGAGAGGTCACTGAATCACAGTCTGGCTGAGGTTGGACCTCAGGAGGTCCTCCGGTCCTCTAGGACAAGAGGAAATGGGTATAAGCTTAGTCAGGGGAGGTTCAGGTTGGATGTTAGGAAGAATTTCTTCTCTGAAAGGGTTGTCAGCCACTGGAATAGGCTGCCCAGGGAGGTGGTTGAGTCCCCATCCCCGAATGTGTTCAAGAATAGGGTGGATGATCTACTTGAGGATATGGTTTAATGGGGATTAGGGATGGTTGGACTCGATGATCTCTAAGGTCTTTTCCAAAAAATCTATGAAATCTATGAAATCTATGAAATCTATGAAATCTGGTCCAACGCAGGGCCACCCAGAGCCGGCTGCCCAGGACCTTGTTGTGGGAGGAAGGGGGTAGGTGGGGAGGGGTGTGCAGGCAGCAGGCAGGATGGGGTGGCAGTGGCCATTGCTCTGGTAGCCCCAGGGCCCTGTACCTTAGCATGGTGCAGGTCCACCCCATACATGGAGAGCTTCTTGGCGTTCTCCAGGAAGTGGATCTCCGCTTCCCCGGGGGTCATTCCCCTGCAGGGAGACAGAGAAGGGAACACGTGGCTGGGTGCCCCACCGGGCACGGGCCAGCTGTCTGGTGCCTTCCTCGCCACCAGCCCATCCTCTCCTGGGGCTCACCGGTAGGTCTTGTGCAGCTCCATGATGCGCTCCTCCAGCTCCCGCGTCTGGTTGGGGGCGAAGCGGAGCTCGCTGACGTAGTTGCCCACGTGCTCCTCGGCATCGTAGTCGCCCAGCTCGGCCTGCACGGCGTAGGAGCCCAGCAGGGCGTGTGTGACGAAGGAGCAGGGCAGGCGCCCCGTGATGATGTCCGCGCGGAGCTGCAGGCACAGGTAGTATCTGCAGGAGGGGACAGAAGGTGAGTGCAGGTTGGGGCTCCCCAGGGAGCAGCAGCGTGCCCCCCACCTCACAGTTCTCCGTGGGGATTGCCAACTCTCACGGCCACCTTCCCGGTCCAGCTCTGCATGATTTAGAGGTGCCACATGCAGCAGGAGGGCAGCGAGCCCCCACGCATCCCCCGGCTGCTCATGTCCTGCCGGAGCCCTGCCCCATGGCACGCTCTCAGCTGGTCCTCAGCGAGCTGCCCTGGCTGCTGTGCCCGTGGAAGGGTGGTTCTCACCTTGTGATGTCCTCCGTGAGTTGGGCAGGGTCTGGAGGGTAAAACTTCACAGTGAAGGCGAAGTTCCAGGGCCCGCCTAGGGAGGGGAGAGAGCAGTAAGGGCAGCAGCCACATTGGCTGCACACAGCCAGGCAGGAGCATCTGGGCATCCACTGAGGGTCCCACGACTCCTCCCAGGCCCAGCACAGGGCAGGGACAAGGAGGGTCCAGAAGCTGCCAGGAGAACAGCCATCGGGACATCAGCATGACTTGGTTAATCCTTCCCAAACAGCTGGGGAGAGAAAAGCACCACAACTTCAGGAGCCATCGGCTCAGCGTGACTACTGATGGCACAGCAACAGCCTCCCGTGTCCCAGAAGGTGACACCTTGGGCAACAGCCCTTCTGCTGCCCCAGCAAGGTAATGTCATGGGCAAAGGCACTCTAGGACCTGTCGCAGCAAGCCCACTGCTCCCTCCCATCCCTGTCCTCCCTGCTCAGGACAGGTGAGGATGGTGCCCAGAGAGGGACCAGGTCTTAGCCAGCTCTGTGGTGGCATACACAGGGTCCTTTGCCCCCCGCCCCCATAAAAGGAGAGGTGGGTAACAGGCAGCTGAACGAGCAACAGCATCCCTGTCCCCAGGCCAGTTGCCAAAGGGTCCCTTCAGGGTGGATGAGGAAGGGACATGCTGGGGGACAAGCACAGCCGAGCCATCCGGGAGCCCCGCAGGACACCCCAGGGCTGGGGAGGATGGACCCTTCCCAGGCACTTACTGCGGATCTGCTTCTTGATCTCCTTGGAGGGGTCCAGCCAGTTCTGCAAGGAGGAGACAGCAGGTGAGGGGGGCCCCGCAGCATGGAGGGGGCGGCGGCAGAGAGACCCCCCATGCTCACCTTCTGGCTGTCCGAGTCACAGAAGGTGAGGCCGAAGTAGTCCTTCTCCAGGAGGTTGAGGTGCTCACACACCATGTCAAAGAGGACCTGGCCTCGGGCGTGCTTCTATGGGAGACATGGAGAGGCTGAAAGTGAGCTGGTGCTCCCGGAGACCCAGCAGGTGCGGGCAGCACTTGCTGGGTGCAGGCGGGGAGCACTGAGGAGGGTCAAGGCAGCCCTGGCCCTCCAGGTGACCACCAAAAGGTGCTGGGCTGCCTTTGAGAGCAGCCCTCTCCACTCAGCAGCACCACTTTGGGGACATCCAGGCGGTCCTGGGGCTGTGGGGCCAGGGCATGGTTGAGCCCAGCCAGCAGGTCCCATGGGCCAGGGGGACTCGGTGCCCACTCGACTCACCCCCGACCACACCAGGAGATGGTGATGCCAAACCAGAGAGGGTCCAGCCAGCCCAGCACCTCCACTCCAGCCCAGCAAGCTGGGACAAATGGGCCCAGAGCTCACGGCAGCCGGCACTGCCCGTGGGACAAGCTCCTTCCCAACCCCGTACCCGCTGGTGGCAGTGGCGGCTGGGTCCCGGAGCACAGTCTGACAAATGACAGCCACGAAGATCCCAGGCCACACGCAGGGATGGAGAGCGCCCATTTTTTGTGTCCTTCGAGTTCCCCTGAATTTCCCTTCCCTTCGCTCATGGAGATGGAAGGACAACCCCTCCCATGTGTGTTTCTGCCGTTTTCAGCCCAGCAGCTCCCATCTCCACTCTCCAAGGCATCCATCTACCAGGGCACCTTCACAATGTGCCCCAGGGATGGCAGCCCAGGGCATCAAGCGGCACAGCCCCGTGGGCCACTGCCCTCGGCTGCCGCCCCGGGCTCCTGCTGCCCTGCAAAGTTTTTCCAGCAGTCACAGTCACCCCTCCTGGGTCTCCTCTCTCCTGCTGACCCAGGTTTTGAAGGCAGGGGCTCACCCTCGGCATGTACCGGGCTGTCACACTCAACGGTTTGACTCCCCCTTTTGATTTGGACTGAATTAAGCCTTAATTAAGGTGCAGGCAAGGCACAACCATTCCCACAGGGCCTGTGAGAAGGAACTGCAGCTCGATGAAACACAGCACCAGCCTTCCTACGCTAAACCCTCTCCCCCATCTATGCCCCAGGCGGCTTTTTTAGAGAGCAGCAGCGCTCTCCAAGTCGACCCCATCCTCTGTGCCGCAGCAGCAGAGTCATGCCAGCCGTTGCCATCTCCTTGCACACCAGTTTGGCTTGGCCAATGCTACGGGGAGAGCCAGGGGAAGGACGACCACGCCGGGGCTTGCGCAAGCTGCTCCTGTGCCCCGTGAGCCCCTCGCAGTCCCGGGGGCGCTCTGCTCCCTTTTATTCTTCGGGAGGGCTTTCATCTTCATGACAACCCACCTTTCCACTGGTTTGTGACAAATTTTAGCGCTAAAGCGACAATCTGGGGTGCTGGAGGGCAGAGATCAAAGGCCCTGATGATTGTGCTGTGGGTGGGGGGCCAGAGCCCCCCACCACCAGCTGTCTCGGGG